TACTTTAATTCACAAGCACACGATCTTGTAATTTATTAACAACAATTGGTATGATGTGCTGTCCTTGTCTTTAATAGCTTTTAATTAACATCGATACTACGTTTTTTAAAGGCTGTTTAGACATTTGATAGTCGAAAAGACCACATTTTTGGAGGTTTTTGAGTTGACTTTGTAACCAGGCTTTCTTACTTAGCAGCCCGGCCTTCTCTGGAATCCAGACCCCTTCAAGTGTTCACCGACCGACCATCACAAGAGACGGGGCGATGGGAAACCTGAAACATTTTATTGGGATGGCCTTAGAGCCGCAATTGAAGGGATGGTGTGCTCTTTGATTAAAAATATGCCTGTTAATTAGCCGGCGGTATTCTGAAAAAATATTTTGTCACTTTATTATAGGAAATTAATGCGAAGCTTAAAAATTCCCTTTAATTCTATCCAGATTTCTACGGTTAACCGGCCCCTTCGTACGTTAATTTAAAGAAAGAATCATGAACAAAGGATCCATTTCGGATTTAACGTTTAACTTTCTTCCTCAGAATACACTGTCAAAGTAAAAACCGGGCAGAAGCAAAATTCTGGCACCAATGCACCTGTCTGGATCAAAATAGAAGGCGAAAGCGGAACCACAAACTCAATCAAACTTGATAATGATGGCAAGGATGATTTTGAATTTGGAGCGTAAGTACAGTGTAGTATTAAGACATTCAACCATTCGTTTATATATTTAACAATTATTCCTCAAGCCTGGATGGGCTCTGAGCCAATAGCCCATGAGGCCAAAGGCCGAATGGGCTATTGAGTCTATTGACTCAGAGGCCATGAGGGCGAGAGGAATAATTGTTTAGTAAAATCCAACTATTTGGTCAAAAATATCGAGACAGAACAACTTTAGCTAGCAAAACGAGATTCGGCCGCCATTGTTTTGGTTTTCAAAGCAGGCACTTTTCGCTACTAGTGGGCTTTCATATAGCCTAGTAGTAGCTCAACCCCATTCGGGCTTGAGGAATAATTGTTAATTAATTAAGACGCTTAGAAGTTATAATAGCCATATCACGCAACTTGTCTTTTTACATCACTGCTATCTTGCTCCAAAACTAGTTGAACAGCGATATTGCGCGTTTTACCGTCCACGTGAAACCTGTCTTGCAACAAATCAGGTCGTTAACAGTTTCGAACGTGGGTAGTAAAACGTACAACATCGCTTTTCAGCCACTCTTTTTGTAGCAATAAATATTGCAAAACAAGTTGCACGTTTTTTTTGCCCGTTTTACCTAAGCGTATAATACGTTACAGCAATATTGTAATGTAGTTTTTACTTCACACAGAAAATAAAACTAAAAGTCGTTTTATCTTATCTTTTTTTTTAGCGAAGATACATTTTCCGTCAGTGGAAAAGACGTGGGGCGCGTCACCGCTGTCCAAATCTATCGAGGGGGTTATTCCTTAATCACAAGTCCAAACTGGTTACTAAAATGGGTAAAATCCTCTTCTTGAAAATTAATCTATAATAATAATAATAATAATGAAGATTATAATAACAGTCTTACTTTCTGTCAGAATTTCATAACTTACTGATTTTATTTCGTTCCTGAGCATCCATTAAACACCTATCAATTTTTCTATCGCGATTAATAAGAAGAAAGAAGTTCTTAACGAACCGGAAATTCTCTTCTTCTGAGGTGGACTCAGCTAAGAGAGAACTTGTAGTTTTTGACGTATGGGCCTACCACCATTTTTGATTTCCATCTGGCCCCAGGAGTTACTAGATTTTGTCCAAACATTGGACAATAGCAGTATCCACCGGTGGATCAATCACTTTCACGGGACTGTATTAGGGAACCAATTGCGCTATACAATGGATAGCATGTTGCCTAGTCCCTGTACGGCGTTTTCCCAGTCCCTCTCGGTCAATTCGTTTCGGTGACGTATCCGAGGCGAACGGGCGGGAAACATTTTCGCATGGACCACGTGACCCAAAACGCTTTGGCCGCGAGGAAAAATGAGGCCTAGGGACTAGCCAAGATAGGATGCATTGTTCACCGTTTGAACAAGGCCTTGAACAAGGCTTGTTTCAAACGTCGTGCTACTGCCGTGCTAAGCTGGCTCGACTTTAGCTCGACTGCAGCACGACAAGAGCACGACTTGGTTTCAGATGTCGAATTTAATTCAGTCGAATAGAACGGCAATTGCCGAAAACAAAATACAAAAATAAAGAAACGGTTTAGCATACTTTTAAATGTATTCTAATGTATTTATAATTTACTAATTGAGTTCGGCACGGCTGTAGCGCGACGTTTGAAACCAAGTCGAGCTACTGCCGTGTAGCACGGCAGTAGCTCGACTTGGTTTCAAACGTCGCGCTACTGCCGTGCTGAAGTCGAATTTAATTCGATGAAATGAATTTAGCTCGGCACAGTAGGAGCACGACGTTTGAAACAGGCCTTGCTCGAATGTGTCACCGAAATTGAAATAAAAATAGCCGGCAGAGTTATAAATAGAGTCTTCTTTTTTTTCAGGTTCAAGTAGACCCGCCGAACGCCCGTATTGGCTTCGATAAATGGATCGAGAAAGACCGATGGTATAGAGGAGGTAAGTGCTTGGGAGTTTTTCGTTTACATTGTAACAGAAATTAAAATTATTTAAACAATAAAATGGGTACTTGACTTGTTGGCCGGTAAATATTCGTCCAACATTTTATGAATCCTGTTTATGGGCAAAACGACTTGATTGTATTTTGTGCACTAGAAAATTCTTCTTTCTTGCTCTGGTCCCAGTTCGGTTCGAACAAAGGTTATCCGGCGGCTAAACTGACGTTAAATTTTAATCCAGGGTTCCAGTTTTCTAGGTTCAAAAGTATTTGGAGCCTGATATAAAGGGAGTCAAATAGGGAGAAGTGTGACGTCACTTTTCTATGGTAGCAAAATTCCCGGATCACAACTAGTTAGCTTAAGCAAAGACGACGGCGAAAGGCAACGAGAACGGCAAACGATGATTGGTTTATATAAGAAAAACAACAACTTTGCACATGCATTACGCCTTTTTAACATTTCTAAGCCGTCGTTACCCGACTGCGACATGAAACTTCGTAATCTAATTTCTGGCGCCCGGCCGCTTTATGAATATGTGAAAACAACACGTTTTTCTTTTTCTTTCTCTCATTTTAAGTACGTTTCTTTCCGGTCCAACACTTGATAATTAAATGAAATTGAACAAGATCGAGTTTTGAAACAGTACGAATGCACTTTTTAAGTGACGCCTTCAGCCTGTTGTCCTTTTGCTTCCGCGGTATAGTTACTGTGACTTAACCGCTTCTCCTCTTTATCAGAGCCAAACAATAGAACTGTAACGGCCGCAATATATTTTAGGGGCTAAAGCAGATCTTTCCAGTGTATGCTCTTCTAAAATAACGCATTAAGGAACTGAACCAGTATGAGAAGAACAAAGAGAGCTGTCGGACAGGCATGGCAGGATAAAAACTGATCTCCTATCATTTGTCATTTGATAGCCTGTCTACAGTCGCCTACTTCCCTAATAAACCAAAAGGAGAGGTTTTATACGGGAAGAGGACACTGGGCAAAGAATCAGTTTGCCGAATTCACATTTATGACCATTTAATTAATTTTTTCCCTCATGTTTATTACCTTCACGACAGAAGTACCTAAATCCAGGAGGTGGGGTGGGGGGTAGGGGGCTACCTTGTTAATAGGGAAAAGGATGCTCGAAAATTAGAAATCGGAATCGGCCAGCTGTTTGGATCCAGGATTTTCCCATTGTCAGTCTCTTTAATAGTTTGACCATAAGGCAACACAATAAACATTCTTTTTCTTTCTTTTTTGATATAGATATTTCTTAACGAACACCCCTAAGCAATACTTGTTTGGTTGAAAATATTGGGTTGTAATCTTGAACAACCAAGAGAAAAAATCTGCCGTTTTACTTTAAAGCGAGACTATACATATCCCTGTCCATTTATATGGGAATTCCTCTATTCCCGGTCAATCACATATTAAGTTTCTATATTATTTGATTTTTTTACGGTTAATAATTGCATTGTTTTCTTACAGTGGTTCCCACCAGTGGTCCCAGGGGAGACAGCAGTTAACTTAATGAGTCCTCAAGAACAAGATAAACAGGGACATAAATTAATCAGTACTCTCGATTTTGCATGCTTTTACTGGCGCCCTGTAAGTAAACGATTAAAGAAAACGATCAATAAAAAAAGGACAGTGAATCGTGATTTGTATTTGTCTTTACGTCCAATATAATCTTATCGTTTTTCGCCCTGGGTAGCCTGCGTCGCAGAGGTAGTTTATCCTCGAGTCGGTTAGTAACGTGTCAACCTCGTTCCCAGGGTTCTCTCTTACCAGCCCTATGGAGGTTGGTAACGTGTCTGTGAAGCAGCGCCGAGATCCTTGTTCCGTACCCCCAATGGACTCAATGGATTACCGAAAAGGGGCCGAAAGGGAGTCTCGAATTTCCCTTCATCCTGGGTTTGCAAAACAACAATGGCTTTTTTAACAGACCAATCATGGCGCGTATTCAAATCCTGGTACACAGGAGGGGACCAAGAACAAGGATTTCGGCACTGGCTTGCAAAAGGACTTAATTAACCAGAGTTTATAGTTTCGTCCGTTGAAGCACAGATTAGGTCGCTACGTCCGGTGCAGCTTCTGATGGGCTAACTTTCCATGAACAGTAAAAAACCTTGTTTTTAAGAAAATAGCAAAAGTAAAGCGCGCGCTCTGATTGGTCAAATACCCACTTACTAAGCTAATGAGGTGATATTTGGTAAAGAAATATCATAACGGTTTTTTCTCACACTGAAGAAAGGTTGTAAACCAGACACGTTTGCGTTTGTGTTTTGACACTTTTTGATATTTCTGTTTACCGAATTCCACCTGGTAAGGAACTACCAGGAACCAGGACTGAGCTCCAGTTGGGCTTCTGGTTGTAATAATTGCCAATCCTAGCGTTGGAACAGTGAACACCGACAGACCTTCTCATCGTGGACCCATATTTCCTAGTGGACGGCCATGGTTAACTATAGGCGTAATCTTAGAAGAACACTGCAATTTTTTCAACAACTTGATAATTTCTCTTCTAACGTCTTTGTTTAAAGTTCCGTAAATTATTGGGCTAAATGACGCAGAGCTTCCAGCCATGAAACTGTAAAATACATACACCTGACGCGGGGCAAAAAATGGTCCATATACTAATCCAAGTACGTCGATGATAACAAAGGGGAACCAGCAAACTGTAAAGGCTAAGATTATTGCAAACAATATTTTAGTGATTCTTATTTCTTTTACCGAGATTCGCCGTGGTGCATTTCTGGACACTGGTGACCCACCTTTATGCCTTAGTTGGGCATTGTGTCGCTTCAATTTGAGGTAAATCTTGAAATAGCAGAAAGAAATGATCATATATGGGAATAGCACGTTAAGAAGAGCAGTTAGAGCTGCATGAGGAATTTTTAACTTGTTTACATCGAAGATACAGATGGCTTTACCAGGATGAAAGTAGAACCTGTGACCTTGAAGGACGTACGACAAGGGAAAGTTACAAGCCAAGATCCACGCAGAGATAATGGAAATGCAAACGTTTTTCTTTGTGAAGCGAGTCCGATGGAGGTTTAATGTGAACATGACGAAGTATCGATTTACCGATATTAATGTCATGGTATAAATTGAAGCTGTCGCCAGCATAGCTGTTGCGAACCCTTGAAACTGGCAAGTAGAAGCGTTAAATGGCCAACTCCCTTCGATACCTACCACAGGAACGAACAACAACGTGAACAGAGAAATGAACCAGTCTATCACGCTCAGGGAAACTATGTAGTAATTTGACGTTGTCCTTAGTGAAGAAGTCTTGAATATTACTATGACAATTAAAAGATTTCCGCAAAAACCAATCAGGCCTATTACAATTACTGAAATTACTTCGATGATAATCACCGCTGTACTTCTTGTCGCCAACTCCTCCACTAGTGCTGCGCGTTCATCCAGCTGAGTTCCATCTACTGAAGACATCTTCAGTACCTTTTTAATCTCCAGCTCGTTCACGTAAAACGTCAAGTTGATAAACAAACAGGAGCACTTTGTAGTCAAGAGTGCTAAAAAAAGCAGAAAATGAAAAACATTGAAACAATATTATAATGGTTGACGCATGAGGCATTGCCCGCTTTTGGACGTGTGTTCCTTACTTTGATCATTTATTACTTGGATTTTTATTTCAGTTGTATCTTGGTACGTGTGCGCGCGCAATTTAATTTTGGGCGGGTGCATTATTTATTTATTAAAGTTACGTGTACATCTGGAGCTTTCTTAGAATTACGCATTTTTACAATGGACAAATTATTTCTTGACACAACTTTAATTCTACTACGATGGTTATAAATTGAAGCATTAAGACCAAGAGACTATAAAGGGGACAGAGAGGGCATCCCCCATATACACCCTATTCCATAGGTAATTCGTCTCGAGTTATTTTTAACACCACAGATCTAAAGGGGGATTAGACAACAGCCAATCACATAGCGCGAATGTGTTCCGCGTGGATGACCCACGCTGAGAGCCACGCGTCCTTCACGAAATGACGCAGAACAAAATGGGGGAAGACGCGGAGAGCGATTTTGCTATTCCTTTGGTCGACGAAAACGACTACAGTGAGATTTCTGCGAAAGCTGTGTCAGCGAAACCGAAATTAAAAAAGAATCGCCCTTCCTCTCTTGTATAGAGCTAACAGTAGAGCAGGGAAATCCTTAACACACTGAATATTCTCTCAGGATCATTTATAATTTACAGTTTGAAGAGAGCAATTTCTGGTTAGATGTTTATTTTTTTCAGTCTTTATAGCGATTATTCCTACCCACTTACTTTGTCAATTGTAGGCGAACCCTCCTAAAGCTGAATTTCAAGGGACCATATTCAAGCTCAGAAAGAGAAATAAAATTTCGTCGTTGCTTATTTACGTCCTCCATAAAACGCGAAATTAGGCATTTTCACGTCGTAGTCGTGCAAAAACGGGAAAGAAATGAACAAAAAAGTGTGTTGCACGTGCGAAGTTGTTGTTTTGCTAATTAAACCTATTGTTTTTTTGACGTTCTAGTTGTCGTCCGCGTCGTTGGATCTTAAACTCCCTAAATTGTACAAACGACCGGTTTCAATAGACCGGCGAAATTTCTCATTTTATTAAAGCACTGAGGTTACGACAACTTCGAGTTAAACTGATTTCACGGGTTGTCAAAGAGTCCAGCGATTCCTTTTTCCCAGGTGAGCGCCGACTCATTTCGCTTCAATATTCAGGAATGCTCTCGATCTTTTTACGCTTTCATTGCCTCTCGCCCGACATGTTTTGCACGGCGTTTGGTCATGCGAAACCTCCACGAAACATCCACGCCTCGCGCGAGGTAACTTTATCCCGATTCTAAAAATAACTCGAGACGAATTACCTATGGAATAGGGTGTATATGGGGGATGGCCTCTCTGTCCCCTTTATAGTCTCTTGATTAAGACGGAATCCACCAGGAATGAGTAATTTTAATTTTCAGTGGACAAAAACCTTGTACCAGAATAGTTTAAAGAATATTGCATTCTTTTTTACATTTTTCAAGGGCTTAAGATGTAATATATTATCTGTAGTAACACCAAAAAAAATTTCTCATGGAAGTCCGAGAAAATGAATGTCAAATTTCACAATAATTGTGATTACACAGTTAAAATTCTGAAAATTTCAAGTGTAAGATTTAAATTCTGTGAAATTTGACATTTATTTTCTCTGGCTCCCATGATAATTTTTTTTAGCGTCACTACAGATGTTTTATTACATCTTTAGCCCTTGAAAAATGTAAGAGAGAATGAAATATTCTTTAAATTATTCTGGTACAAGATTTTTGTCCACTGAAAATCAAAATTACTTAATCCCGCATCCCAGGAAAATCCTTCCAGACCCTGAGAGAAACTTGTTTTGAGTGCTAGTCCTTTGTCAGAGCGATTAAAGATAGCACTCAAAATGTCAGCTTCTCTGTCTCCCTACCGGAGCACCTCATTTGATAAAATCTTTGCTCCCACAAAACAGGTTTATCTCATTAATTTCATTAATTTTTGCTTTTTTATATTGCTCGATGGAAACACCCGAACTACATTTGATGGATTGAGCAGCGAAAAAAATTATAAATTTAATTCAACCAAACAATTTACAAAATTACAAATAACAGGTGTCGATTACAAAAAGAGTTAGATCAGAATAAATTTGAATCTTTGCCGGACTTCAACGAGTGTCTGTAAGTCCCTATCTATATACGAGAGTTTATGCCAGTCAAATGTCTGAAATTTTCCTCGGGGATTCTGCTGATCTATGTATGAGAAAAATGTCCCGTAATAGTGGGGCGTAAGTACTCCGCAGTGCATGAGTTGAAATTTCCATAATCACGCGGCCGCGATGGAAGCGGCAATGGGAGGCTGGAGGGTCAGGTTTAACAAACGAAACAAACAATTTTTCCCATGCATCACACAATTTCATGTTACATTATGTTGCCGTCACACTGTGACGGCAGCATAATGTAAGTGACTGCAGCCAATATCTTAACGTAAAATTTGATTACCTTCATACATTAAACAACCGTACACAACAACGTTACGATTTCCTTTCACGTTTCTGAACTCATACACTGTCCTTAACGGATTAAACTTCAGTAATTTTCGCCTACATTTTATCAAAGAATTGAACCAGATCAGATGAAATAATGACACGATTAAGGATGGGGAATGAGAGACCATCAACTCTGATTATATGTGAACAATCTATACAGTCGAGTGATTATAGGCTCCTCGTAATTAAGTTTTTCAATAAAACACCTCAGTGGAATTAAAAGTTAATTTAAAACACAGTAAAAACGTGAGTTTCTTAACAACTAGACCTTCACTTGCTAGTTAGCTCGGCGATACAAGAAGAAAAACATGCATTCAATTTGGGTGTACATCAGTTTAAATTTATAAATATTTCTAAAGAAACATTTTTTACAAACAAGCATTTCCTTGCTATAAACGTCACAAAAACGACAAAAAAGCGATCTAGTTTTATCCTCTGATTAAGAAAAAATTTTTTATATTAAACTTATTTGGATTTAGTGTCCTGAGAGAGCTGTGGAAATCCGGCCTAGACATGTGATTTTATGATAACTTATTTAGTCAGAATTTTTCCTTCCAGGGCCACCGTGCTCCCTTAACCCGGTAAAAGGCCCTGAAGTAATTGTGTTGAGCACTATACAAGTGACAGGGGAACCTCTTCGAACTTACACCAACAGAGTTGTTTTCAAACACAAACTGTATATATGCATTCAATGTTTCCATGCAAGAGAAGATAAGTAAAGGACCAGACTTTGCAAATAACGACTGAAGTCACTTACCTATTTCAACTTCGATATTGCTAAATGTATTGATCGTGGTAATTTTGAACACCTTCTACAAAAGAAATCCAGATAATCTGCATCCGTTGCAAAGTATAATTGGCGTTATTTCAAGCTTTTGAGGCCGTATCTATCAAGCTTTCTTAATCGTTTTACTTGAAGTAGAGCAATGGATTACAATGATATTGGAAATTTGTGGTTGTCAGTGAGCTACATAAAACAATAATGAATGCAACGCCCACTCAAATCTATTTTACACCTGTCTCACGTCAACGTGCTGTACTTTGACACGACAATAACTATTTGAACTTTGTTAATATGCCATTTGCGCTACCGCGTCAGATAATTCAAGATGTTTTCCGTTTGCTCATTATATAAACTTTTCTAAGATTTTTTTCTAGAAAGACTAAGGCGTGGAAAAATCTAAATGTCACCGTATATACGTGCGGTTGCCCATAACAACAATTCAATTGTCAGGTGTTTTACAATCTAACTGACATTATTACAACTTTTTGTTTTACATCGAAATACGCTGGAGGCTTTGGAGTCGATAACTAATTTATAATATACATGAATATGAATACACGAAATATTTCTTTTATAGTGCACCTGACAATGTAATCATTTCCAAAAATAGAGAGATGTCACCAACGCTTTCAGTTTCTCCCCCAAAATCAAGCTTGTTACTTGAAACCATGGAGATAGAGTAAATAAATTAGATCGGAAGTCTTTCTTGATCAGCCAAATTCAGATAGATTGATGCAAAGACCGAGTTCAAGGGGTAATTCTACTTTGTTAAAAACTGAATACAATCTGTACTGTTAAAAAGAATAAAACACAAAGACAGGTGCAACCGGTTGAATTTGATCCTTTGAGGAGTTAAATAGCACCTTTTTGAAATTTAATTTAGCTTACTAGTTCACAATTCCTAACTTTTTGATTAAAAGCTNATAACTAATTTATAATATACATGAATATGAATACACGAAATATTTCTTTTATAGTGCACCTGACAATGTAATCATTTCCAAAAATAGAGAGATGTCACCAACGCTTTCAGTTTCTCCCCCAAAATCAAGCTTGTTACTTGAAACCATGGAGATAGAGTAAATAAATTAGATCGGAAGTCTTTCTTGATCAGCCAAATTCAGATAGATTGATGCAAAGACCGAGTTCAAGGGGTAATTCTACTTTGTTAAAAACTGAATACAATCTGTACTGTTAAAAAGAATAAAACACAAAGACAGGTGCAACCGGTTGAATTTGATCCTTTGAGGAGTTAAATAGCACCTTTTTGAAATTTAATTTAGCTTACTAGTTCACAATTCCTAACTTTTTGATTAAAAGCTTCCCACTGCTCTTTGTTATACCTTGGCTCCCCTCGCATAATCCTATCTTTATTGATTTAAATGATTATGTTGAAAAATATCAATATTTGAAACTATTCTTGATTGGTAAAATCCAACTAGTGGTCTATTATCAATGCTGCGTTCTGATTGGTTGAGCTACTACTAGGCTATATGCTATAGCCCACTAGTAGTGAAAAGCGCGGGCTTTTTGGCGGCAAAAAAGGATTAAAGTCTAGCTTTAACTAGCTAAAATTTCTTTATTCTCGATATTTTTGACCAACTCGCCCTGATGGCCTCTGAGTCAATAGCCCATTCGGCCTTCGGCCTCCTGGGCTATTGACTCAGAGCCTATTCGGGCTCGAGGAATAATTGTTAAATACACAGGACTCCTGCTTAAAATCTATGTGACTATGAAACGTTTAAACAAAAATGACCTGCAAGTTTTTTTACAAATGTTATAAGAATTAATTTTAGAATTATTTTTGGGACCATTTAAACATAACATACATCGAAATATTTTATTTCAAGCACATTTCTAGATATCGCAAAGCACATATAAAATGCGAAATCATGTCATTTCTAGAGTTTATTCCAGCTGGGGAAGGGAAGGGCTGGTTTAATCCATTCGGTATTCGTATTGCCGAACACTTCCTTCTTCACTTGGAAAATGTCTTTTTTATTCCTGTTTCCCCACCCAATTTTGGTAACTGGAACGTGTACGTAATCTTATTTAGCCTTTCTTGTTAAGTTTTAAAATTAATATGATACAACAAAATTTGTCTCTGGCATCAGAAGGTGGTTACATCTACCATCACAGGCAGCTCAAGATTCGTAATGGTGGACTTGCGACATGATGTGACGTCACAGTCACTTACAAATTCAAATATCTTTCGCATTCTTAAACTATTATATACTGAATTACTCGTTGTCTCCCTCAATTTTATTAACTGAATCGAAATCAGATGATGATTTTAATTCAGTGACACTTATATAAAAAGAAGAAAAACGATATCATCCAGAAAAGAAATTCCCAAGTTATAAGCCTGCGTTTGTTGAAATCAATACAGTTGATGCAAATTGACCTTAATTATACTGCACTGAAAAAGTTTCAAGCAAATCTAAAGTGAAATGATCTTGGTCTCAAGCGTCGTGATTTTTATCATCTTTCAGCAAGCTGATACCCCCATTGATTACTCTGATTCCTTTTTTAAAATTATAAAGGAGTGAAGCCTGCTCTCCCTGAGAAAGTCAATGCCATGAAAAAGACCGTTCTTAATGACAATCAACTCTCAGCTTTATCTACGGCGTTTTTACAGTCGAGGCAGGTCAAGCCTCCCCCTCTAAGATTCTATTAATGAATTGATTATTTGAAAAATGAATCCGTTAGTCGTTCCGCGCGCGGTAACTAGTGTTAAATTCAAATCGGCATTCCTGCATGCGTACTGAGCAGTGAATATTTCACGAGAACTTCTCTGTATTTGGTCAGATTGAAAATCTTTAAATGGGTTAAATTTCATAGAAGACATTTACGTCAAATTCAGGAAAACTTAGCTGGTAGAAATTTCGTAACTGAATCGCCTGTGAATTCACGGCTTATTACTCATGCAAGAATGCAGACATGAATCTGGAATCTACAACTACCAACGGATTCAACTTTCGAATAATAAATTCATTTATGTAATCTTGGGGGGTACGCTTGACTTGGGTTGACTGTAATAACTTTTGCACGTAAAACAAAAACTCTATAGATAAAATACAAGAGAGGGGTGGGTAAGACAAACTTTCTCCGCTAGGATTGCTACCGAGCTGAATTTTATTGAGTCAGGTTTGTAAGTACAATTTTAATTCACATTATCCATTGAATAAAAAGATCCAATTAACTTTTCCCCAAAGCTATGACCGGCGGACGATGAAAATGACCACCACTTTTAATTCCAAATCAGTTAACGCTGAACCGGCCTGTAACTCTCCTCATACCTGTTAAAAAAGAAAAAACCAAAAGAAAGGGAAAAGTAAAAGGTGAAGGAAAAATTCAAACAACACGAATACAGACAAGAAGTCTCAATTATATATGTAACGGATTGTTTCCAAATTGAAAGAAGACGATGACACAAGGATCATTTTAAATTCATGATTGAATAATTTGAAGGGAGGGTCTGCATTCTTCACTGTATTCAAGGAATATTCCGGCAGAACTGACTCAATATTAAAAGGGAAATAATCTAATCCCTGAACAATTGGAATATACGCTGATCACTATAGTGTTGTAGAAACCCCTCCGCTAACGTTAACACTATGATACTCAACNAGCGCGTCACAATTGGCTTTGGTTTTACTTCTGATTGGATGAAAAGGTGGCGCGAATCTTTTAAGCCAATCGCGTCGTGTAGAAAGTGCAAAACCAATTACTTTTCGACACTCAAATGAAAACCGCTCTATACGCTGATCACTATAGTGTTGTAGAAACCCCTCCGCTAACGTTAACACTATGATACTCAACGTTTACGTTAGAAACGTTTTGCTTCAGAGGGAAAGAATGCTTGCAAAGAAAAACTGAACATTTACAACGCCATATGACTTTGTCATGCGGCGGCTATTTTGTCTCAGGAGAGTTAAAAAGCTTTGTCTATGCACGGGTAGCCTCGAAGAGAGAACGAGGCCAGCCGTGCATAAACAAAGCTTATAAAATCTCCCGAGACAAAATGGCCGCTGCCTGACAAAGGTCTATTTCCTCACGGTCTCAGCGGGTGGGCCGGAAGCTGAATGAACGACTCACAGGATTGGTTTAGAAAACAATACATAGCCCTAACCAGAACAAAACTAAGAATGAACCCCAACTCTGAAACAACCCCCCTCAGTAGAGCTTCGGGCCAACAAGAACCCATCAAACTAGAGGTTCTAAAGAGGTTCTGGCCAACAGGTCGCGGCCAGAGAGAAATAAAATAAATAAATAAATGGATAAAAAGAGGGGAAGGGAAAAAGAGAAAATGTAGTTGTCACCCCATGGAAACAAACTCTAATTTCAATTGTACTGAGTTTTTCAACGGGCCAAAAAATTTCCCCTCGTTCGTTAAACATTCCTCAAAAGTATATATGAGGCAGAACATTCTCCATAAGCATGCAAGTCAGGGAATAAATCTAGATTATCCTTTCTTGCCATAAGACAATGTTACTCTTTTAATGTTTCCTCTAGACTTTCCTCAATAAAAGGATAATAATAATCTAATATTTATGTCTCTGTGTGAGGGGCATGTTGTGTGTAATGACTCTATAATTTCGGCTCTGACCTGCAGTCTTGTCCGCATCCGCAAAGGCTGTAATGGCGTTTTTAGCAGTCAATTCGTCGGAATACCAGGATTCAAACTTGCCGTTGTCAGGACGTTTGCAAAAAGCTAAAAAGGGGAAAAACTGTCTTAATTTGATGACATGAAATTGTCATTTGGTTTCAAACCAAGTTTTTTATCTCTGTTTTGCAATTACGATAGTCTGAAACAATGGAATTTAACAACTTCAAACTAGAGACTTCCTGTAACAACTTGTCACAATAGTAGAGTATCTCTGGCGGGGCGTTTCGCCTTATAAAAACCACGTGAATATGTGAACCAAGAGATGCGTCTCGGCAGGTACAACGGACCTATAACTATGGGGGAGGGGGGGAGGGGGGTTAGGGGCAAGAAGCAGTCTACGGTATGCCCGCCAGGAATTATAGCAAAATCTCAGTTGATAAAGCAAAAACAATAAAGCGCAAAAAATACAATAACAGTACGGAACTAAAACACCTGCATTATGAAACATAAAGAAGGAACCTTGGGAGACCGTCCTGGGCTTGAATGGGAATTTTGTTAAATAGACTGCAATTTTGTGCCTCCCTTTGGGCTTCGTTTACTCGTTGTTTAAGACCGCACCTTTCGTGGCTCCACGCACGATATAAGCTGTCTAGTGTAGTGTGAACAGCAGTGACAAGAGGTGACACAAGTCGTTCACATACCTGGAACATCGTACCCGCTGTACGGAAGAATTCCAGTCCTGAATCCTGAATATTTACCTCCGTTTTAGAGGGTTCCAGTCCTCGCTCCAACTTATTAGGCTGATTTTACAACAGAACGGGAACGTCAGTTGACGATGGCGCGCGCAAATCAAACAACTGGCTTGACCAATGGCATAGCGGCAAATTGAGCACCGGAAGTCGTGTTTAGTCCTTTCGTCAACTGACGTTCCCGTCCTGTTGCTAAATCAGCCTGTTTACTTCCGCAACGGGCCTTTTGACACGGCACCAAAGTATGGCACAGAATCTATCCGATATGGAACGCTTCACTTTCGAGATCAACGAGGCGCAGCTTCGCTCCGTCACCGAAATCGCCCCGCTGCAACCGTTCCAATGTGTGTGAACAGACACTCTATCCGGTATGATTTTCGTGTCGGCGTGTGAACATATTGACATTAAACAAAGTAAGATTAATTTTAATTAATTTGCTAAACGTCGCTGCTTCATTCCATGTTTGTGAAAATACAGTTACTAAGCAGAATTTGCAGCCGAATAAGTAAATTTTACGAGCTTTAGCGCCTGGGTGCTTATTCAAAATTTCGGCTCAAAGGATGGACACTTAATCAAGAGGGGCCCTTAATAAGTTCTTCTTTTGGGACATTCCAGTCTTATTATACGATTTATACACAGAAACAGACAATAGAAACAGGTTTTTCCTCCTGTGTTCCTACGTTATACTTTTAAAGAAAGTGATCGGGGGTGGGGGGAGAGGGGGCGCTTAATTGATATTTTGGCTTAGTTCAAGGGCGCTTATTCGGTGCGGAACGCTTATAAGACCGCGGGCGCTTATTCGGTGTGGAGCGCTTATAAGACCGTGGGCGCTCATTCTAGAAAATACGCTTCTTAATAAGTCATAACTTACTTCTTAAGTAAACTTGGTTGGGCTTTTCAACATCTTTTTGAACATCCACTCTGGGAAAATCATCTACTTGAATCTAATGTGTAAAAAATATTCTTTTTATAAGGACAGGGGCGTTATTTAGTTAGACACCATCAATCTGCCTAGGTAGATAATGAGATCAAGCAAGATCCAACCAGTATAGGATACCCCGCTTGCTCGAATTAAAACTTTCAAAAGTTTGTGGCGAGTCAGAAAACTATATGGAATTTTTTTCACTTTGCAAGATCAGAGAAATGACCGGAAACTTGGAACAGCAGCTAATAAACTCATTTGTCAAAAGTTGTATTAAAAATTCTAGGCCAGGTAGCCTAAACTGTATGCTAGTACACACATCTTGACCACACCCCTACCTCCCTTAAAGGAAATGATGAACAAAAATCAGAGGAAACAATGAAATGGCCTAATGTAACTCCATTTTAACTACTTTCATCTAAGTTTTTCTAAACAAATTACACCGCAACGTGCAAAAACTATAATTACTCCCAGATTACCTCGATCCAAGGACCAGCACGTGTGCTGATGACTAATAGACCTTTCCACGTTTTTTTAAACTATTGACATGGACCAGTTAAGGAAAATCCGTCAACACCATTGGAAAGAACACCTTAAAATAAGTAAAATTACCAAGTTGAAAGAAATACGTCTTAAGTGAGCGAAAATGTAACCTCGCAAAGTTGCGAAAATTTACAGACGTCTGAATCAACGGGGGGCGCAGTATCAGTTACACAAACGTCAGCTGTATCTTCGTTAGTTGTCAACAAATCACTTTCAACATTGGTAATTTTAGGGCGCTCTTTTCAGTGGTGTCGACGGATTTTCCGTAACTTGTTCATGTCAAAAGTTGAAAACAAAAAGGTGGAAACTAAGGTGTATTCAGGACCACACTTATAGAAAACTGACACTTTATCATCATAATCCGACGCTGAGGTATAGCGTTTTATTCAGAAAACTGTGCGTACCTCTGGAAACTTCAAGTTTAAAAAATCAATTAGGGAATCAACATCGATAAGGTGAGCAAAAAATTCACAATTGTCTCTTCAAATGCAGGTGGAATTAAATGCTACCCTGCGAGCAGAGTCTCCTTCGATCTTCCTAGAAAATATCCTCTTCCCAATATTTTCTAGGAAGATCGAAGGAGACTCTGCTTGCAGGGTAATTAAATGCGGGCATGCACCAAGGTAAACATATAGAATTTGATTCCTTTCGTTCAGTTATGACTGGCACCTTTAAATGGCTTTAGCCTTTAACGCTAGATAAGCTCAGATCATTTATCTGGATTCGAGACGACGAAAGAAAGGAAGGAATTATGAATTGAATTCTTTAGTATAACAACACCATTTAAACGGCGCCTGCGAGAACGAGGGAGCGAGAACTTCTATTTTCACAAGTCCTTCAAAGTCGGGTTCCAAGAAGAAGGTAGTTATCTTTGCCGCCAAAAGGTAATTAGCAATTATTGAATCATGTAGAGTAGAATGTGAAGAATTATACAGGTCAGGATGTTATCCACCGAGGCTGAGGGTCGACGTGCATCATGAGTAACATCCCCCCTCCCGAGATTTGCATGATTCGTCACATCATACGAAAAAAAGAATCTCTTAGTAGACTTAACTTTCTTCTAAACTTTGGCCTATTTTTCGGCAAAGTTTCAGGGTATAAAAACTGGTCGATCAGTTTTTCTTGTAGATACTCCTCAAAAAGTAGACAATATCCATCGAGCAATATTTTGATCGATGGTCTATTGCCCATGCAAACACGTTTCCAAATCAATATACAATCGATCAACCACGTTTCCAAATCAATATACAATCGATCAACCTCGTTTCTAAGTCAATATACCATCGATCAATCACGTTTCCAAATTATTATACAATCGATCAACCACGTTTCCAAATCAATATACAATCGATCAACCACGTTTCCAAATCAATATACAATCGATCAACCTCGTTTCTAAGTCAATATACCATCGATTGCTCGCATTTTCCAAATTTGGTCAACGCCAGTTGGTTATGAAGATTTAGCCGGGAGCTTTGAGCCAATCAGAAACGGTGAAATATTTTGAATGAATAAAATGATAATTATAAGACTCCCTACCCAATCGACGTACCAATCTGCCCCTTTACCACCATCGTCGCGCTTGAGGTAAAATCGTGCTGGGATTCCTATGTCTTTCCCTTGTACTTCGAATTTGTCTGGGTTCCTACACAGGAGAGTAATGATCTCATTTTTTTAATTGTCACGCGACAGTGCGACCGAACCAACGGCCAAGGAAATCACATGAAAGGGACCTTTTAAAATAACTAATATTTATAACTTAAGAAAGGTAAAAAGAACACGCTCTGATTGGTCAATTCTTAGCCATCTGTCGTTTGCCAATGCGCCATTTGTGCACTCAAGGCAAGCTTTATGGCTGCACAGTTGGCAAATTGAGTAATTCCCATCTCTCGAGTAATTCTTGTGTAATTCTCCTCTCCTATTTTTTTCCCGTGTTGGTCCGTAAATAATTTATTGACTAAGCCTATTGAGCTCGACTTTGTCTCGGTTTATAATGTGAAAAAGAGCGTGCCCAAAATATCCTTCTTCAGTACTGAAGCACATGTACCAACTCCGCGGTATGGCCAGTACCTCACACATGCGCACAACCATATCTCCCCGGCCGTGACAGCCGTGGACAGCTGTTTCGTCCTTATTAGGAATCATCAGCATGATATGCGCACAGCCCCAGGCGAGAGGTGTCAATTGCGATGACAAAACAGTTGTCCATGACTGCCACTGCCGTGGTGATATCCCTGTAGCAGGAACCAAGGTTGTGCGCCTGCGTTAGGTACTGGCCATCCCTCAGAGTTGGAAAGTGTGCTTAAGTGCTAAAAATTGGTATTGTTTGTCAAAGTATACATATATCTTGACCAAGCAGGCTTTGCCGCGGTTAACAAGGTGTAAAAAAGCCAGCATTAGAGAGTTTAAGCTTCACATATACGGCAAACGGCAAACGTCAGATTCCAGTTGAGAATTTCTCAAAAACAGCTCAAAACAAGTCTTATTGGATAAAAAATTGCGTGAAACTACTAATTTATGTGTAGAAATGATAAACAGTAAACGACAAATAATGGGAAAACTTGGTCACGTGGTACAAATTCGCGTTTTCCGTTAGACGTAACTGTGCTGCTTAACCTCGACTGGTCATAAAGCGTCAATCGTACGTGAGACAAACGGTAAATAAGGCTATCATTAAGTATTGTGGAAAAAAACATGTTAGCAGTGTTACGGAATACACAGTTAAGTTTCATCTATTTTAATATTTGCAAATTACTTACTGATTTCTTTCAAAGCAATTTGTATTTTTATTCGAACCCCGTGCTTTGGCACAATCCAGTTCCATGTATGCTGTTTCTCCTTTGGTACCGAAAAGTTTGATCCATACTCTCGCATCTGTCCCAGCTCCCCATCTATTTCCAGTCTTAACACTCACTGTATATTCTAATAAGAGGAAAATATATCTCTTTTCAGTTTAAAACTGAATCATTGGATAATGCAAATCTAGAGCTCTGATTGGCTTGGCCATCATGGTATATGAGCCATTATACCATGCTCCCCAGATATGGTAACTGTACGCGTCTGCTCAAAATTAAAAACAAGCTGAAAATCGGTTGTTTTACAAATAAAGTCGGGAAGAATTCTCGATATTTTGTGGGCGTTTTTATTAAAACAATAATTCCACTCGCGCTTGTTGGATATGAGATGATTATAGCCAACGAGCCGCGCTATCTACCATCTCATATCCAACGCACACTCGCATACTTCTATGTTACCTTCTGTTGATTGGTTAGTCTTTGACCCCAAGGGACTTCAATACGTAATTGATTAAATTGTGTAAGTTTCACGTGTTTATTTGTCAAACTATAATCGATCTTAAGAGAAAGAAAGCAGTAAATGGATTGAATGGAACAGTAGGCTGCCTTTATAGTCAATACTCTGAAACATTTCCTTGGCATTTGTATGCGCAAGAGCCATAAGGGGACAGAGTGAGAATCTTAGGGCGTTGGCCGGGATCTGTTAATTCACTTGGTAGTTATTTTTAGGAGGGTTAGGGCCTGTTTACATGGAGGTGGGGGACCCCAGGAAGGTGAGGTAACCCGCTTAGGTGGGGTAACCCGTTTTTCCGTATAACCTCTCATTTTAATTTGATCACGTTTACATGATAGGTGGGGTGACCCGCCATATTTTACCTCACCTACCTGGGGTCCCCCACCTCCATGTAAACAGGCCCTTAATATATTGCTGGGACGTCCGTACATTTTAATCTATTAAAACGCCATCAAGTGCAAACAATGCAGGATATTTTAAAGGCGACAGCTGAATATTCACAAGAGCGATTTTCATTTTATTATATAATATGGCTCAAAGTATGCAAGAAATACATTGCCGAGTGGCTCCGAAGTTAAGTTGCACCTGTTGTACTTTTGAATTGACCATCTCATTTTTAGGGAAGTTTACATTACACATAAGTTCGAAAATACGAATTTTATGTTCGCGAGGAAAGGAAAATATCTCCTTTGCCATCGGTATCTTCTAGCCAGCATGTAATATATATTCTCTACGTTTGCACTAGTACTAGAAAAAAAAAAAAAGTAAAATATGCCATACTTCTCAGACTGCCTTGAACAGCGCCACAAATTACCAGAAGGGAGAAAAGTAACCAAGAAAGCTTTGAAATCATTTCTGTGGAAATAATAATGATAATGATACACAAGCAAATAATTCCAAAAGGACACAAAAAATTACGATAAGTGAAAAAAGCCGTGTTCTGAAAGACGTGCTGGCTCCAAGAAAACATTTCTTTCCAGGTTTCTTTGCAGGTTTCTTTATCGTAAGACGAATCACGCCGAGGTCTCCTTATTACAAAAAGTTAAATTGCTCTTGAACATAAGTTTGAATTCTTTAATTAAACAGAATAAGCCATCGAAATGCTGAAAGGGCTGCCACGAGGTATAACAAGACAAGACGAGACAA